GACTTACGTCGGCTGCCTACCCTCACCCGAGTTTGCCTGTTTAAGGCTCGAGCTTACTGGAGCCGCAGTGACTGCTGTTGGCGCCTCATCATACCCCTACACCCCAATCGATTCCAGGTGGACGCGGCTCCCTCCTTTATCGCCTCCTTTTCCTTCACGAGTGGTGATGGTGATGTTGGTCTAACGCTGGAATCAACGATGGCGGCGGCGGGGGAAGAGAAGGAGACAGTGTGTGCGGCGGACCCCTGTCCCCAGTGTTCCCTCAAAGTGGCGCCGGCGACGCAGGAGGCTAGTCAGTGCCGGTCGGTAGTTCTCGGTCCTGACGTCTCCGCATCCTCTTCTTCAACTTCCACCGGTTTATCCCTCCTAGCCTTCTGCAAATCAAATGCCTCTGGACAGGAGGCCAAGAGCTATTTTGTCCGTGTGCTCAGGTGTTGGAAACTTCGGATTGCCTTCTCGAGGGCACAGGGTAGGTCTCCTTTCTCTTCGCATACACCACTATCATTCCCGAAGGAGTTTCATGTAAGCACAGTGATTCCGAAAATATTTCTGGGTGATGAAGGAGAACGTTTGCATTACAGGTATTTGCATGGGTAAGGAAGAAGAATGGGTGAGCACCGGGTCACCCTTGTTTATTATCCTGAGCTTTCGATGTCTTACAGGAGTCCATCGTCAGAGATGAGAGACAGCATCCCATGCCTAAGCTGTCGTTTTACCTACACAGGCCAAACTGAACGCATGCTCGGATCGTGCATAAGTGAACACAAGTTGACCGTAGGACGAGGTGACGAAGTATCACAAGTTGCAGGTCACACCTATGAAACAGGCCATTAGTTTAACTTCGCGGCCGTCAACGTACTCGTCCACGCCGGGAAGAGGACGAGCAGGGAATTGATAGAAGCCTGGTCCACGGACGGGAATTCAGTCAACCGATGTGTCGAATTGGCGCCGGCGTACAGAGCCTTGCGCAATTACGTACAGTCACGACCAGTCGTCCGTCACAGTTAATTGGGTCCACATCCTCTATAAATGCCCCATTTTCGTTGCTGAAGCCCTTATGAACGTTGAAATCACTGACGGTTAATTGCCCCTGCCCCCTTTTCATTGCGGTTTCTTATCCCTCACGGCCTGATGACCCTTCACAGTTGATTGGTGTACACACACCATACAACTAGCCCCTCTTTTGTTGCTGTTTCTTATCTCTGACGATGGACTCCTGTAAGAGTTTAAAAGCTCAGGATAATAAGCAAAGTGATCCGGAGCTCCACCATCCTTCCTCCTTACCCATTTCTAGGTAAGTATGGCGGTGGATGAGATCACCCAGTTGTGGGCTGGGGTGAGTGGAGAGGGGTT